TCTGCTCCTGAGGATTCAGATCTAAGCAATAAGCAAGGTATGAGAATGTTGCCCTGTGTTATGTGGCACCAGAAGGTCCCTAGTGTCCAACCCCAGGGAACAGACGCGTGAGGCATGGTACATGCAGATGCAGAATCCTGCAGTTGGCTTGGAAATAGAAGCCATGAATGAATGCAGGCTTAGCAACACATTTTCATCTTAAGAATATGGAGCCAAGTGGGGAAAAAAAAACCCCACCAAACCAAAAACAGCACAAAGGAGAAAAACAGGCATAGGCAACCAGGCAGAGGTTGAGGGGGAAGAGGACTATTGGGCTGATAGGTGGCTCATGCAACTCAGGTTAAAACAGAAAAAAAGAGTGCAAAACCCACCACGCCCCCAGCTTCCAGAATGCACGAGGTGCTCACTTGGCAGAGGCACGGATCCCTGAGGTCTTCCCTCGGTCTCCTCAGAGTGCCTGCAGAGGCCCAGGAATCTATGTTTTGGGTAAGCTCCCCTTGGGATTCTGCTAATACTGAGGCTCCAGAAAGAGGAGGGAGGACACTGTGAAGGCCTGGAGACCCCGGGGCTGGAGGCACTGAACTGCTCTGGGTACTGGCAGGAAGCCCAGCTCGCTGCACCTCTGCTCAGCTGCTTGCTGGCCTTGGGGCCCCCGAGGGCTCTGCGGTCCCTACTTCGTTAGTGAAGTACAAGCCCTTCTGGTTGCAAGAAACCTCTTGTGCACTGGGGTCACCCTGGTCAAGCCGTTCTTCACCAGCTGAGTCCCATCAATCTCCCTGAGCCACTCTTACCTTCTGGAAGGAAGAGGGGGCTCGTAGCTCTGACCTGGGTGGAAAACACATCGCCAAAGCTCTGACCACTTAACACATAAGCATCCTGAGTGGCAGTCCTGCCATGAGCTCAGCACCTTCTTCTTCTTTTTTTTAAATTTATGTATTTGGTACAGGGTCTCACTATGTAGCTTGGACTTACAGTGATCCTCCTGTTTTCAGCCTCCCCAGCACTGGACTTACAGGTGTGCAACACTATGCCCAGATTCTGGCCGCCTCAGTGAGCCTGGCAGTGTGCGGTACCAGGGCTCAAACCTTGGTCCCTACACTTGCCTAAGCAGGCTCAGCACATATTTCAGGAGGGCAGTGAGGGACCTGGAATCCACAAGGGCACAGCAGCATGGGACAAAGATTCGAGCCAGGCCTGGCTGTCCACGGCCAGCACTCCTGACAAGAAGCGTGGTCTGAGCCAGCCACCCCCACCCACAGACTCTGGCCTTTGCGTGGCTCCCTGCCCTATAAAACAAGGACAAATGCTGGCCTTGCAACCTATGATGTCTGCTGGGTGAATACAGGTTTGCTGTAGGGTCCAACAGCTTATGAGGTCCCCATCCCATGGCACATCCATCAAGGATGCACAAGGGTTCCATGAACAGATGTACTGATCCCAACCATTACATTTCCTCTTGGGTCTCCTTTGAGGGTTTCAGTAAACTGCTGGCCTCCCTGGCCTCTGCTCCTGTCTTCTGCTGCTCATCCCTTCTGAGTGGGAGCGGGAATGCAGAGAGCACTGTGTCCTGTGTTATAAATAGCAAGTCAGCCTCCCTATACACTGCACACTCACCAAGTGCCAGGCACTGTGCTAGGAGCCTTACCGGCAAAGCCTCCATCCCTTCCTGAAAGGCAGGCATCGCCTCTCCGCTCCTAGTCTACAAATGAGTCTGAGAAGTGAAAACTCATGACTGGTGACAAAGTGATAAAACCAGTGTTAAACCAGCTTTGAGAGACCCAAGCCAAGCTCCTTGGACCCCTGTATTGGATCAGATCAGGGTCCTTGGGAGGGCAGAGTGGGCAGTGTCTCCATCACTTGTAGCAAGCCAGGGGTTGGGGCCTGGCTTCTGTTTTCATGGACAAATCTTTGGAAAGTCTCTGGCAATGGAAGATGCAGGCAACTGCCTATGACTGGGGCAACATCTTCATTCTTGTTCTGCATTTGCACTGGAGCAGGGTACAAAATCAACAGGATCCCTGGATTTGTCACATTCTGGGCTGCCTCTGGGGAGGAGATGTTACAAAGGAAGCAGAGTGGGGAGAGTGATATAGGGCCAGGAGCCCAGGAATGTAGGCTTGGTTGTAGTGAGATGCTTTTGTACTTTTAACCTTCATAAACTGTAAGATGATAAATTTGTGATGGTCCAAGTCATGCAATTTGTGTTAGTATGTGAAAGTAGGAAACATTCCCCAGGGTAACTTTCTAGAAGAAAAGTGTTTGGTTTTTTTTTTTTTCCCTGAGTCCCTGGGGCTTCATTTTCTTTCTCTCACATGATGCTTCTCAGCCTGTGCTGTCTCCTAGCTCTGAGGGGGATTTTGGGGGACCCTTCTGTCTCTCTCTGCTGCTCTTTGTGTCATGGGCTTCTGTTTCATGTAAGGATCAGGGCTCCAGGCTGGGTCAACTCATAGGCTGGTTAACCACCGAACCAGGGGAGATTTGCCCATGATGCTGGCCCTGGTCCTGGCAACCGGACCTCCGAGAGATGCTGCACCCACTGGTGTGAGAAATCCTTCTTGGCCGTCTGTCCTCCCCAACGCAGTCATTCTGGACCCCAGCTTTGCTTCCTGTGAGCTGTGCCCAAGTCCCTGGGGGATTATAAGTGGGGAGCTGGGCTCTGCCCTACATCTTCCCTTGCCTCCAAATGACAAAAGCATATCTCCTACCTGGCCCAGTAACTGGCAGAATAACACTAAATGCACGTCTTAGCAGGAGGTATTCAAAGGCTGGAGCTGAAACATCTTTTCTATTTGGCTCTTTGTAGCTGGAAAGGTGGGACTACAGATTTAGTAGACAAGCTGACGAGAGCAGTGGGAACCTCAGGACAGCAGGAAGAGTGACATCTGCTCACCGGCTTCTTCTGGAGGGTGAGCATGGCTGTGCCTGCCATCTGCCTGGGGAAGTGCAGGTGTGAGATAAAGTCACCACAGGGCAAGGGACAACCTTAGGAATAGTTCAGACCCAATCTGTGGTCAATTCACATCTTTGCTGATTTTATTCATCAAGTACAATCTGCTAGGCAATAAAAATGGCCCATAGTGATTGGTGTTTGCAGTCAGATTCTTCTTACTGATGCTGTGTAGAGAGGCTTTACTTGCCACCCTTTTCCTTCCAAGACTCCATTTCTGGGTTTCATGAATCAACTAAGAGTGGATGGCCGGACCCCTACTCCTCCGGCAACCAGAAACACTAGCTGTTTATCACAGGCTAGGAAGTGGGTGTAGAGAAAGCACAGCCAAGACACCCTTAGGGAGAAATCCCAGGGTGAGTTCCTCAGCTGGGGTTGCATGGCTTTGCTCCCCGTACTCAAGACAGATGTCTCTGTCCTTCTGTCCCCCAGGGTAGTGCCCTTACCTCTGGCCAGTGTTAGCTTTTTGTTTGGTACAGTGAATTCAAGGCAGCTCTCAGATCTGCCCCCAGCCTGGGCATGATCCGGTGTACTCACAGCCTGGGTTCTCACCCTTGGGAGAGGAACCGGGGCTGTCCTGTCCCCAGGGCACTTATGTCTTTCCACTGGAACCATGCATGTCAGACAAGGGCGGTCTTCAGGGGCCACAGCTTGCCTTTCAAAGGCATTGACTCTCTCTCTGCACTGGGCAGGTGCCTCTGCAGAGCTCCAAAGGACAGAAGACATTTAGGAAGAGCTCTGGCCCCACAGAGCTTAAGGAACCACAGCCCCAGCTCTCTCTAGCAGAGCCAAACTTAACTCGGGGAAGCTCCCCATGGTGATCAGGGTACAGTCGTGCATGCAGGGGTACCAAGCACACCCTGGTGAATAAACCTGCTCAGATTCCTAGAGGCAGCAGCTCCCTCCCTCCTCCACTGAATCAGACCAGTCTCACTCCCTCCTTTACCTCCCCCTTCCCCTGCCTGCACTCAGCAAAGGAAGGGTGTGTCTGCGCTGTCTCCTTCCTCTCACCCACCTGGGTAACTCTGATGCACAGCACCCTTGAAATGCTCAGGATGAGCAAATACTCAAGCAACTGCCTTGTGAATGGGCAGCCTAACTAGTAATAAGCCCCACTGGTGGGTGCTTGCAGTCAGCAGTGACATTAGCTCAGCCTTCCACAGACCCCATCATCTTCCTTCAAGGAGCTGTTTGAACTACTAGTTCCTTTCCAAGAACGCATTCCACCCGCTTCTGGCGGGCCCCCAGTGAACGCGCTCGCTGAACCAACCTTCTTTCTATAGCTGCGAGCTGCTGCAGTAGCCACCCCAGCAGGCTGCGACCCACCAACGGACCCGTGGGGGCAGCCTTGCCCCCATCCTATTCTACCCTCACCTCATCCCTCTCCACTCACTGCTCTCTTTCCATCAGTTTGTTGATTGAATGAATGAGGGAATGTGGAGTGCCTGGTATGGTGAGCTCCCCACAGCAGGTGCAGAGCCAATCTTTGTTCAGCCCACGAAGGAATGAATGAACTCTTTTCCTTCCCCACCTTCCCCATGCAGGCTGAGCCCATGTTCAGGATGGGGCTCCTAGCGCCAAGGAGACCACCGCCTACCCCACTGGGGCATCTAGTGAACCCACCTTCTATCCCATGTGCCAAGCACACAGTAGGCGCTCAATAATCGCTTGTAGAGCTAATAGTTAACGAATGACTCAGTGTGGCCCGCTGGGGGTGGTGGCGGTGCAGCATTCCGTGCCTACTGATGAAGTGAATGAGCTAGCGAACGCCTACCCCTCCACTCTCCGCCACTCCATAGCCAGGATGCGCCCCCTTCCCTGCCAGGGTCACCTCCGGGGACCGCAGGAGGAGCCGGAGCTGACTGCACCGCAGATGCGTGGCGAGCGAACTCCCCGCCGCCACCGCGGTTCCTCGGTCGCCCCGGCCTCCTCCCGGGCTGGTTTCGAGGCCCCACCGGGAGCCCGGGCTGCGGCCACGTGCGGCTCCCCCAGCCCGAGTCTGCGAGCTCCGCGGCGTCGGGCCAGGCCAGGCTGCAGCGCGCAAAGTTCCCACCTCAAGTTCCCGGCGCGGCGATCCTGCCTCGGAGTTGGCTCGGCCGCGGCTCCCGTCCCCCCGGAGCCCGCGGGTCCAGGACTAGGGTGCGAGAGGGGGCTGGAAGCCGTTGGGGGCGCCCGTTCGTCCTCACCGAGCCGCAGCCAAACTTCGGCCCCGGGGCCGGCTCGGCTCCGGCACTCGGACCCTGGGCCGCCCCGCCTCCGCCTCTGGGTCCCCGCCGGCTGCGAGTGCGCCGGCAGCGCGGCGAGGCGGGTGCGGAGGGAGGCAGCGGGGCAGGAGGCGGGACGAGGGAGGGGACTGCGCGCGGGGCGGGGAGAGCGGGCGGCGGCGGCGGGGCGCAGCGTGGGGCCTCGCCGAGCTGCCGGGACGAAGCTACCGCCGCGGCACCGCGTTGCCCGGAACCTGGGATGGGGCGCGCACCTTCTGCTCGCGGGCTGCAGCGCCGCTCCACGCGGCACGAACCCGAGTCCAATCTGGACAGCGCGCCGAGGGCCCTTAAACCAGCCGCCCTGCCCTAGCCGTCTGCTGCTCCGCGCTCTTCCTGCTCCTACCCCCTCCCCCGCGCGCCGCAGCCCCTCCGCCTGCAACACCAGCCTCGCAGGTCCCTGTGCTCCGCTGCCCGGGGCGGCGCGCCAAGTCACGCACTGTCTCCAGCGGTCCAAGTGCGCGGGTGGTTACGGGCCCCTTGCACCTCTGCCCCAGGGTCTGCGTGCCCACACTGCGGGTCTCTACCTCCCGCTGCCCTGAGGCTGTACACGTTGCCTCCACGTCTTTGAGCCTTTCTCTGGAGGTCCAGATGCAAAGCTGTCCCAGTCTGCCAGGGAGCACCCGGAGGGATCCAGTGACACTCTCATCCTCCCACAGCTCTAAGAACACTGTGGATGTTGGCCTCTCTTGCCACTACAAGCTGGGGTCACTCTTTGTGGCAACTGCTTAGGGACAGCATGTGTCATCCGGGTACCCTTCCCTCTAGGTCTACAGGCCCCAGACGGACCTCCATGCTCCAGTCACCTGCATGCCCTGATCATGGCTTTGGGTTACAGAGTCCTCACCCTTGGAGAACCAGCTTTTAGAGTCCCTGGGTGGCACTGTTCTTTTCTCTTTTGTTTTCTCTACCATCTTTCCGCACCATCAGAGAACCAGGAGAAGCAAGACCAAAGCCTGCTGGGGTGGACGGTGCTGTAGGTGCCCGCGGGGTCTGGCTGCACATAGAGACATAGGCATGAACTGTAAGAGGCACACATTGGGTTGCTGCTCATCCATTCAGCAAATATTGGTTGGCGGTGCAACAACAGACCTGCCAGGTCAGACAGGGACAGGCCCCAAAAGCTCCTCTTCAGCGAGAAAGGGGGGGGGGACCAGGAAACCCTGGTGCAAGAGTCAGATCAAAGGAGAGGTACGGAATGAGGGCAGAGAGGCCACTTTAGAGAGAATGAGTGGTCGGTTTAGCAGGGAGAAGGAGACCATCTTTGGCAGGTCTGGAAAGAGACCTTGCTAGGTGGATGGGACAGCCATGCAGTGGCCTTGAGGCAGAAGAGACAAGCGTGCTCTTTGGAGGAACAGTGGGGGCAGTGTGGAGTGCTGGGCCAGAGGGCCTGCTCTGTGTGGGCCTTGGCAGCCTGGCCCGGGATCACTGCTCCTCTTCCCTGCGTCAGACCCTGCCTTCCCCTTCATCCCAGGACCGAGGCAAGGTATTTCTGTCTTACTCGCTGATTATCTGTCTCCCTGCTGGTCATCAAGGTCCAAATCAGAACAGGGACTTTCTGCCTGCCCCTGGCCAGCAGCTTTCCCAGTGCTAGGCATATCCAGAGAAGCCCCTATCATTGAAGGAGGAACTCAGGATAATCCTATGGGATAAATTTGACCGTCTTGTAAGGTGACTGGCCTTGCGGGGGATCATGGGACTAGGATGTGAGCAGAGGTTCTTGAAACTTCATGCATGTGAGTCCTCTGGTGAGGGCTTGGCCCCTCTGGGGTGTCTGACTTGGTGGGATAGGAGTGGACCCTGTCTGGCAGGTTCTTTTGTGCTGCTGATGCTGTGGATCTGGGGATCTGACTTTGAGAATCGATCACTACTGGAGACTTGAGCTCCTAGCCTGTTGGGTCTGACTGCAGAACCCACAGAAGTGGGTAGATCCACTGAAGGAAGGGCTCGCCTGCCGTGTAGGATCTAAGACCTTATGGCTGGCTCTGCAGAGGAGCTGTCCCAGGCACTGGCTTAGCAGCACACGATGCATGCACCTGAGTGGGCGTTGGAGAGACCTGCAGACAGAAGACCAGCGCACTGTGGAGACCACCAGGAAGGACACAGCCCTTCCTGCCCCCACTTGCATCCACATGCCACGCTGCACTCAAGTTACACTGCTGCCTGATCTTATCCCCGACTGTGCTAAATAACATCCAATAAAATCCTTCTAAATCCTTTTAAGGAATTCCCTCTACAGTTCCTCCTTCTCTTACAGCCTTGCAGATTTCCAGCTCCTTGTCTGCATCTTCATTCCCTTCCTGGGGCGCATCCCTTCCCAAACTGCTGTGTGGGAATGGGTGTGGATGATGCTGGGGAAACTTTGAAAAGACAGGAGCTCCTGCTTGCTGAGCACCTACTGGGTGCTGGACCATCTGTGGCTGGACCCATAGTGGGCCCTGATCCACAGACTTTTTTTTTTTTTGTCTCTACTGGCTTAATTTTTATTTTTTTTAAATTTAGTATGAGTTGCTAATCTTTAAACATCTGGACATTTTACATCAAATATTTTTGTTTTAAAATACTGGGAGATTTGGCCAACATCCTTTACCTGAATCATATCTCAGTAATGGGTCCCTGGCACCCTGTTACCTGTCCCAATGGTTTCTCTCTCTGAGCTCATCATGTTTGAATTGCTACTAGGCTCCTGGACAGCCTAGTTGGTGGCCTGTCATCTTGCCACATTACCCAGGGCCACATGATAAATGGCAAAGCTGGAAGCAAACCGACCCCAGATTGTCTGACCCCAAAGCCCAAGCTTGCCACTGATAAACAAACTGCTATGGATACTGGGGGCTGGCAGAGATGGGGCATCCACGGCCCTAGGACAGACCTTAAAAGGGAGTTACTGTCAGCAGTTTATGAATGTGCTTTCCCTTCTATCCATAACCCTCTGTCAGCAAGTCAGACCAACCTGGAGTGGTTTTCATGGAGGGAAGGGTTATTCACAGCTGTCTACATTGTTTGACTGAATCCCCCTTGAGATGAAAAGGCTTGATTAGGGTTGGGGATCTCTGCGGGGAGTGCAGGGGTGGGGTTGCCCTTGTTCAGAGTTGCTGTCCTGCGGGGGTCTCACTGGGGTGCAGCTTATTGAAGAGAACAGGCTGTTCTCTGGCTCAGGTCTCTAGGAGAAGGGACAGGGGGCCATTGTGTGCTCTGTGCCACAGTCACTGTGCCCTGGCTACCCTCTCCCCTCCCTCTGCTGCTGATGCCCAAGCTCAGCCCTTTTCTGGGAGCCGCCTTCCTGTGGATTTCTACGTGGACCTGGCTTCCATCCATCACTGCCTTGGGCTGTGCTGGAGAGGGGTGCGGTGGGTGAGGCTGAGGCAGGCAAGAGTGTGATTGTAATTTTTTAAAAAATGAATAGTTTTTTTTTCTTAGATTTTTTCATACTAATTTTTATTTTTATTTTATTTATTTATTTTTTGCAGTACTGGGGATTGAACTCAGGACCTTGCACTTGCCAAGCAAGCACTTATTCTACTTAGCTATCTATCTCCCCAATCCTTGATTTTTAAAAATATTGTGTCAATATGTTACTGAGCTGCCTTTGGGCACCTGTAACTTTGGTACCTTGCCTGCCTCATCTGGGTTCCAGCCCCACTCCCATTCCAGAGTCCTTGGGGAAGAGGCCCTGATGGTGATTCAGGAGGCCTGCTCCACGTGGCTGGACAAGGTCCCCTCACATGCTGGGCCTCTCAGCCCAGGCAGAGGCCTGCCTGTCCAGGGAAGGGGGACGCCAGACTCTAGTTGTGCGGCAATCCAAGGGGCCCGCCAGAACCCTGACAGGCAGTGCATTGTGTGCCAGCCCTGGCCATTGTGGACTGTCACTCCCTGCCCTTCCCCTGGCACCCCAGAAGAAGTGTCAGCATCTCCATGGCTGCTGCGTGCATGGACATCCGCACCGCTCGTGGTTTTCCTGTCCTGGGGGGAGCTTGGTGTTGCAGGTGGGCTGGGGCACACTCTTCTTTGACGTCTTGCTTCTTGGTCTTTGGTTCATTCATGGCTCATTGGCAACTCCTTGAACGGCCTTTGCTATGCCAAGCACTGGGCACAGTGAAGACAGGAAAGCCTGGTTTCCAGCCCTGGAGGGGCTGGCCTGCTCTCCCGGAGAAGCAGATACCTGTACTGAGGGCAGTCTGTGCGGGAAGAGGACTCCTGGATAAGGAGAGCTGTGTCTGGGCACGGTACCAATGCCGGCCTCTCCTCCCTGCAGCCTCCAGATGCCATCTTCCCCAAGGGGCACATGCCCACCTTCCTAGTTTTCCTCCTCCAGAGAGTGCTGCGTGAGGAGCCCCACTCACGGGGCAAAGCTAGGAGTTAAAGCTCTCCCCTCTTCCCACTCCTCCCTCCTCGGTTCCTCCGTCATCCATCCTGACAGCCCTCAAAGCCCATCAGTTGCAGCAGCTTTCACTGGGGCTCCAGCCCGCAGGGCAGTCTTCTCCCTCCTCCTGAGCTGTTAATAACCAGAGGCCGCTGCCTGGTGCTTAATTAAGATCTGCACAGGGCTCCTCGTGCTTAGAGTGGCCAGGAGGCTCCCATCCTATTCTTTCAGGGTCCTTGCCTGGCACCCATCCAGAGGGGGGTGTCTCAGACTCCTCAGCTGAGAAGTGGGAAGCACTGCTAAGAAGTCCTTGAATATGGTCTATCCCCTCTGGGAATCCAGGTTGACATCTGATCCCCCTTGGCCATAGGAAGACTTAATTCAGCTGTGGTGTTTAGAGGTGGAGCCTCTGGGCGGTGGTGAGAGATAGGTAGGGTTGTGAGGGTGAAGACTCTGGCACCGAACACCAGTGAGTTTATAAAATGAGCGAGTGTGCAGTGGCAGTATGGAGCCAGTGAGGCTTATCTGAGGTGTGCTTACTGACAATAAGATGAGTGAGAGAAGCCTGGCACAGTAGTGTATGCCTCTAATCCGGGGTACTCACAAAGCCAAGGAGGCTGAGGCAGTCGGAGCAGCCCACCTCTCTGTGTCTCCCCATGTGATGTTCCGTGTCACCTCAGGACTCTTCAACCAG